CACGCTCCTGTTGGGGGCTAAGAACCCGCTTATCTCCCTGAGCCTGGCCTTCATAAGTCCACTCCCTCACACACCCACATTAAAAAAGCAAGAGAGCAAAATGCCGGCATAGCCTCTCGGAAGGCATCTGGTCTCGTCCCCCCCTCGCCCCCTCCTTGATGTTGCCCAGACAGAGCTTCCCAGCTGGTGAGTCAGGGTTGGCCCTCAGGGCGCTCCTGCCTGAAGCCAAGCTGTCAACTTGCGGGACAAGCGCAGGACGGGCCACGTGCCATGGGCATCACGTGCAGGTCACTCAGAGGCCAGAATGAGGGAGCTGCTCTGGCTCTCTTGGGCAAGCAAAGCCAGCGGTTCAGGAGCAGGGCAGTGCTGCGCGGGGACCCTGGGATCCCCTCTGTGGGCCACTCGGAAGACCGGAGGGCTCCTCTCTCCGCGAAGAAGCCTGAAGTTGCTGTGTGAACTTTACTGTTCTGTCTTTTTCAGAGGGAAAGAGTCTGGTAGCACCTTTTAAGAGTAACACATTTTGCTATAAGGGAGTGTTTCTCAACCTAGGCAAGTTTAAGATGCGTGGACTTCAACTCCCAGAATTCCCCAGCCACGCATCTTAAACTTGCCAAGGTTGAGAAACCCTGCTATAAGGCATCAGCTGTTGCTGTTGCTCAACTGCCCCCTATTCTGTTGTGCTGGGGACTTTTTTTGTTCTAAGTGGCCAATTTGAGATCTGCAATAGAATATTTTGGGAGGTTAAAATGCTCTGCTGCCACTTTCTCCTGGCTTTGCTGTCAAATTGGTTTGTGCAAAGCCGGTCCTGTATGTCCTACACAGAATCCAGAGGATGGAACCTCTGGTAAGCTTCGAAGTAATTTAAAAACGTGGATGAGATAAACTTCTTTAAAAACATCAACAAGCAAGTATGAGATGTTATTATTAATGGGAAAACTTTGATTCCTCACTAAGTCACTTGCTTCTTTGCAGTTGTCCTCATCGGGGACTCGGGCGTGGGCAAGAGCAACCTGCTTTCCCGCTTCACCCGGAACGAATTCAACCTGGAGAGCAAAAGTACCATCGGGGTGGAGTTCGCCACCCGCAGCATCCAGGTGGATAACAAGACCGTGAAAGCGCAGATCTGGGATACAGCGGGTCAGGAGCGCTACCGGGCCATTACTTCCGCGTAAGAGACTGGGCTGTTGCGTCTGGGAAACAGAGAGGGCCTCTTTGCTAATTGTGATCTTCTTTTCTTAGAAGATCACAGTTAGAAGCGTTAAAAATGGGTCTCACCCTCTAGTCTGGTCCCTGATTCTGAATTAGCTTGTCAGGGCCTCCTGGAGCTCAGATCCTCTGCCGGGGGCGCTGAGGCAAGGTAGATGTGATGCTTAAGGGATCCATCTATGGCAGTGTTTCTCAACCTTGGCAGCTTTAAGCCATGTGGACTTCAGCTCCCAGAATTCCCCCAGCCAGCATGGAGTTGAAGTCCACGTGGCTTAAACACTGATCCATAGGTTTCAGAGAAGGCAGGAGTTGCGGGTCAGCCCCTGGCTGAGGTGGTTCTGTGTGGCTCACGCAAGAACCCGTCTGGTCATCATATTGTCATGAAAGCGTCCCTCTTGCACTCCCATCATGGCATCCATTTCATGAAGTGGCAAACTGCCCCTGTGGGGGAGAACGCGGGCCACACGCAGCAGGACTCCAGTGGGCCAACCAGCTCCTAAATCTTGGGAATTAGAAAGTCAAGGAATGAGGATAAACTAAGAGAAAGGGGCTTCTTCTCTTCAGTGGAGTTCCTCCTTCGCGTTAGCAGGTTAAATGACACGGTTAAAGGGGGCTGTAATCTCGTAATCCCTGCTACGGCTGTTAGCCCATTTCTGCTGCTAACAACTGACAGCGATTAAATTAGATGCAGATACACGGGCTTAGCGAGAAGGTCCTACAAGACTCTGTGCTTGTACTGGCAAAGGCAAAGCCACGCAGCCACCTGTAAGTGGGAGAAGTGGAGGCCATGTTGGATTAGGCGCATCCAGTTTGGTTGGATGGAGAAATTGCTGAAGGTTTGGTTCTGCTGGCCGGTGACTCTACCTCCTCCTCCTCATCTTCCCCACCCTCTGTAGTTACTACCGAGGAGCGGTTGGCGCCCTTCTTGTTTATGACATTGCCAAGTACTTGACCTATGAGAACGCAGAGCGCTGGCTCAAGGAGCTGCAGGACCACGCAGACGCCAACATTGTCATCATGCTTGTGGGCAACAAGAGCGACCTGCGACACCTGCGGGCCGTGCCCACTGACGAGGCCAAGAGCTTTGCAGGTAGGGCTCCTTTGCCCATGGAGGAGGGCTCCAGGGTTTCTCCCTTTGTTAGAGGATATTCTGGGCACCTCAGAGCATTTCACTCATGCCTCTTTGCCACAGGAAGTGACTTAAGTGCATGACTGATTCATGCTAATCTGTTAAATGTGCTCATTAGCCAAGCCTTTGGCATCACTGTTGCATTCTTCTGTGAAGGATGAGAACCTCAGAGCATTCCTGGGCCAGATGGCTGGTCCACGTGGGTTTTTGGTCAGGCGTTCCCCGGACCTGGAGCAAGGGGCATTGCCCTGTGGCCATCAGCGTGTGGAACAGAGACTCAGCCACAGGGCCACAGCCCCTTCCTTGAGCTTTGTATCACTGCTGTACAAGAGGAGGGGGCTGCATTTAAGTCTGCGTGTCTTTTCCGTTGGCCTTTGGAGGCTCATGGCAAATCCAGGGGTGGTGTGATGTCACTGATTTTTTCACTCATTTTTAGATGAGGGCAGGGGCAAATTTAATTCATCTGAAAAACACTTGTTTGCACACTAAAAGGTCTTAGGAGCTTCACTTGGTCAGTGGGTTGTGAGCTCATGGTTTACAACCTTGGGAGCTTAGAAATGTGTATTCTTTTTTTAAGACTTAAAACCCCCCTAAGATTCCTGGATCCTCATTCTGAACTTTTGCTGTGTCTTCTGGAAACATAACCCTCACTATTCTTAAAACTGACGGAGTACTGTAGAACATTCAGCCTAATTTGATATATTTATGAATTTATATGCCTCCATTCAAAAAGGTTTTCCCAAAGTGAATTACAAAACATTTTAGAACCAGAAGATAGATAAAGATATACATTAAAACATAACATGGATCTGAAAGACAGCAAAACAAAAAATCTGTATTTAATTGGAAGGAAGACAATCTGGTACAGGGACCTGTAGGAAGAGATGGTCTTCTGGTGGCGCCATTTTCCTTGCCAGCTGCAGGTTTTCTGAGGTTAGTGCCCAAAGCTGATGTCACTTGGGGAGAGCAGTGTCCCTAGAAGGGTGGGGGGTGCTTTCCAACAAGGTTGATTTGAGCCACAGCACTTCCGATGGTGACGAAGCAGCTGAGATCCAAGGAGCATTTGAGGGTTGGACGGAGCTTATCAGAGAGACTGTGTGTGGGCAAGCCCTGACTGCTGGTGTCTCTTTCTGTGTCTTCACCTGCCATAGAAAAGAATGGATTGTCTTTCATAGAGACATCAGCTCTGGATTCCACCAACGTGGAGACAGCCTTTCACAACATCCTGGCAGGTATGTCTGATTTCCCTTCACACCTATCTGGGTGGACCTGATGGTGCCCTAATTTGGGAGTGGTGAAAGGTAGGCAGGTCCAGCACTTGCTGACTGGATGAGTCCTGACAGGGCCCATGAAGCACCTTGAAAGTTCACGAGCACCCAGAAGGGTTAACTGAAGGTTCCCTGCAGCAGAGATCTCACAAATAGAAGCGAATATGTGTCGCTCTGGGTTGAACTGTGGAGTCCTTGAACTCTGAGCTTGGCTGTTTTCCTGCAAACGTTTCATTACCCGGCTAGGTATAGCATCTTCAGTGCTGGAATGGGATGGGGTTTGCTCTCTGTTTATATACTGTGGCATGCCCTGCCAGTGTGGGTGTGGGTTTTGTTTTGTTTTATTTTTTCCCTCTGGTTGTTCCTTGATTAGGGTATTGTTTACTGCTTGATTGTATGTCTGGTGATAATCTTGGTGTTAATCTGTGCTTATCCGGGTGATAATTGCTGGTGAGGAGATGTTCTGGTCTTTTGTTTTCCTTTTCTATTGTCTCTTTTGAATAGCGTGTAGAAGTTGTTTATCTCTATGTGCCTGTTGATGGCTGCCTTGTCCGAATACTAAGCTTCCAGGAATTCCCTCACATTTTTGGATTTGGCTTGGCCTAGGATGCTGACCGTTTCCCAGA